AACCCCCTCTTGAAAAAAAAAAAAAAAAAAAAAGAATATTGCAGGCACCAGTCTTTTCGGGACTTGATACACTGATGCTTTTGTTTATGGTTTTGTATAAAATGGCTGTATGTCCCATCCAGTTCTTTACTGGGGATACTTCATCTAATTCCTGCAGAACAGTTTCTAAGGGTTATGGCATCGGTAGCAAAATATAAGGAGAAGAAAGCAGACTGAGGCCTTGCTTATTGGAAGCGCCAGGGTTTGGAGAAAAGAGCCCTTTGGTCCCTTCTCCATGTGGCTGGTGACAAAGTTCTGGGAAAGATTTAGTCAAGAATGGCGAAGACTTGGCCCAAAGGCGGCTCCTCAGATCACCCTCTTACACAGATGTCGCGCCCTCCTATTGGCCCGGCCCAGCCACGCCCCTCAGGAGGAGCTACTCACCATTGTGCTCGATCCAGCGGTACTGCCTTTCTAGGCACAGCTCCTCCTGCCGCTGTCTCACAAGCCGCCGTGTCTCTGGGGTCAGGCCATTGGGGTCACGAGAGAACACGAAGGAGTAGCTGTCCGCACAGGTGCCGTCCAGATTCTGCAGGCGACAGGAGTACTGCAAAGCGAAGGTGTCGTAGTCCGTATCGATGATCCAGTGGTCGTCATCTGTATGTCAGAGAACCACAGAGGGCCCGGAGGCCCGGCCAACTTGTTACCACTGACTCCGTGGGAGCGGCTGCCTTTCCTCAGTGAGCGGAGATTCCTGACAGCTTTTGTACAACTGGGCAGATGAGAAAGGATCTTTCTCTCCTTTACAGAAATGAGTCTTGGCACAGAGGGCACCTCATTCATGTCAGTGATAAGAGAAGACACAGATCTCGCCCTGGTATGGAGGACACCTTGTTCGTGTCAACGACTCCTTAGTAACAGGTAGTACAACCGTTTTCTAAGGGACCACTGAAGATGAGCTGCCGTCTTCACTGCCTACCCTCCGGTAACATGTGTCTCTGTCTGGTGTCTGATGGCCCTCAACTGATGTCATCCCCAGCTACAGGCCATGAGCTTTTCGGGGCCCTGCAGAATCTACCTCCTAGCATCTCACTTGGCCCCAGTGCTCTCCCTTCAATGGGAAAGAGGATGCCAATCTGATGGTAATGGTCTTTCATGTTCTACCCTTATTCATACTTAGGAGCCCTATTCGCTTCTCCAGGTTGACAAGTGGGGATGCTCACTATCCAGTTTCAAATATAGTCTGGTTCATGCACCCACTGACTCATGTGTATACAGTGCATGTGGACACACAAAGGGGGTGGGGGAATTACTTTTCATGACTTGCCTGGCAGAGCAGAACCCTTGAAAAATGCAGATCATATTCATTCTGCAAGGCTGGGGTCTAAGTAGTGCAGAGGCACCATGAAGCAAGTGATACAAAGATCAACCAAGGCAGAACGGGAAATCAGTTAGGGAGAATATGTATGTGTGAGTGGCCCAGAGAAAGAACAGAAATGTGTTTGTCAAAAAACCCTATGTACAGGTAAGAGGGCTGTATTTCAGTTTAACCGTCTTTCTGACTTTTAACCAAGGCTAGAACCAGTTACTTCATGGATATTTCCGTATTCAGGGAGGTATTTCTTGCATTTATCCAAAATTATACACCATTACTCCATATTACAGATGGGGAGACAGAGGCACAGAAAAATAGAAATAATTCCAGCAGGATCAGACACAGGGCACATTGCCAGAGTCTGCACACCTAACCTCCACCAGACACTAGGTAAATTGGGGGTAGAAGGGACAAGGACAAGCAGGCGTTTTATCTCTCACACCCAGGTCTTAAAGCAAGGCATCATCAGCCCAGGTTTGGCTTCATGTTGGAGGAAGGCAGAGAGGCCCAGATGTCCAAACATCACAGGATGTGAGGCCACGCAAGTCCCCATCATACGTCACCAGTGGCCGTGCCTCTTTAGGAACCCTTGAGATACCAGCCTAGGATCTGGCTCAGCTCAAACCCAGACCCATAGGAGCACTGCACAGGAGAGGGTGAGCCCTCCTTCTCCTCTCCCCCTACCAGACAGAAGAGGAACGAGCCACTCCTGTATCTTCCAGGCTTTCAGAGCCCTAGCTCAGAAGTGTCCCTGGCCCACAACTGATCAGCTAGGCAGTGACCATGAAGTTCCTCAGTAGATGGGACATGAACAGAAGCCACGTGGCTGCTGCTGGGCCACCCCCTCATCCCAGGCTCCACCCTCCCCAGGCTCCACTCTCCCCAGGCTCTTGAGAATCCTGGCAGTCTTCCCACCTCTGGATCAAGTCATGGGATCAATGTGTCATGAAGGGGCATCTGGAGCCTGCCTCAGACACAAAGGCGCCCATGCTTCAAGTAGTACCTCAACTCATGGTCCAGGCAGCTAGCAGCCCAGCACACCTGCAGCTTAATAATTTTACCCCCAAATTGTTGCCAGGATGTAAAATATGACATAAGAGATAACTTTCAATGCCTGACTTTAGTGCCCTTGGCTGCTGCTTTTGACTAGAAGAAGGCATGAGTTGGTTTGGTTTACCTCCAGGTTCTTTTTAGCAGAATAGTTCAGTCATGAAGCATCCTAAGCCTTCGCCAGATACTCCCTCCTAAGAGGATCTGCTAGGGCTATGCCAGGGCACAGCTTGAAAGAATGGACTCAGCCCTCCAGCCTTCTCTCCTGCAGCTGGGTAGGGTTTCTCTGAGAAAAAGACACCCCTTGTCTTTCCAGACATCATCTAGACTGTGGAGAGAGTGCCTGAGGCAAAGACTATGGCTGACAGCCCCTGACTTCCCTCCAAGACCCCAGAATAAACATCACGCTATGGCTGTGTCTACACTGTACTGAACAGATAAGTTGAGAACTTAGACTTTCCTGGTTTCAAATGCTTAACAGAGGGAACTGTCTTGGTGGTTGGCTTTCTTTAAAGACCTGCCACTCACTGCTCTCACTGCCATGGCCCTAGAAAATGTTGGCTTGGCTCCCTAGTCCTGTGTCCCCCACATAAGAAGTTCCCCATGATTCTCAGGCCTAAGGATCCAACTAAACCAGTGTGTGTGTGTGTGGGGGGCAGAGTCTAGCCTATTTCCAACTAAATATCCCAACAACCCAACAGTCTGGGTAAGGGAATGGTGTCTGAGATCTCCATGGTGTGAGTTATCTAGTCCACTGATTCTCAAACTGCATTGTGCAGAAGGAATTCACTAAAGGAGCCTTTTGGAAACAGAGATACAAGGCTCCCCTCCTCTCCTCAGGAAGAGTTTCTGATTTAGTAAGTCTGAAATCTACACTTAGAAAAAAAAATACTGCAGCTGATTTAGCTAAAGTTGGCCTGGGGACAGTGACTTTGAGAAACACTGATGTAGACTTCAAGCCTGAGTTGTCCCTCACATTTATAAGGACCCCTTTGCCAAGAGAGTAGCAAACTTTATTTGGAACAAGGAAGAAAGAAGTCTTAATCCATGTTTTTCTGGGAGGGCACAACAAAATAAGGATCATAGCTAACATTTAATAAGCCCCTATTATGCAGCAATCTAAACACTTTCATGCATTACCATGAGTAGTTCTGCTAACAATCTTATTAAATAGGAACTGTTCCTTAACTCAATTTGATCATAAAGGAAATAAAATTTTAGAGAATCTAGTCTATATTCAGCCAATATAGATGATGCCAACATCTTTCACTCGTGAGATGTCTCACTCTGTGCTGGAAGAACCAGGAGGAGAGAAAGAGAGCAATCCAGAGCACGCCCAAGGGAAGGGGCAGCAGACCAGACTGGTCTGCTTGCATTGAAGAATGTAACTCAGCAGCGGAGCTCTTGCCTAGCATGTTTGATTCCCAGGCTCAGAAAAGTAGCAAGGAGTCTGCCCCTGATTTCATTCAGCTGACAAACTCACCGTAAGCCACTGTGCCTTTAGCTCTTTCATCTACAACGGGGATTCAGAATGGCAGCCATTTTTCCCGGAACTCCAGCAGCAATTAAGAGGTTTATTATATTGAATTTGCCTTGAATTATTTTCAACTAGTCTGCCTTGTTACAAATATATCCATTTGGTAAGATGTAGAATTTTACAAGGTAAAAAACAGAATTTGGGCTTCTCTAAGAAGCCTTCAAATCTGTTCAAATTCATGCTTAATGCAAGATCAAGGAAGAAGGAAATTAGCACAAGGAATAAGTACTGAGTTTGTGAAGAAGGTCCCCAGAGAAGCACATAAGACAGTGAGAGGCGAACACTTCAAGTGAGTCTGTAGACACTCAGAAAACAGGAGTGAAGGTTTCACTAGGTCCCAGCAGTTAAATGTATGTGTGTGCCCCGGAACACTTATTCCTTCACTTGTAAAAAAATGAACTTGAACTTGAAAGTGTCTGTGGGTTCTCCCACTCCAGACCCGAATATAAAGCTATGATTTCCTGGCTTAAAAGGTAACTAAGAAGCAAAAATATCAAACATAGAATTTATCGCTCAGACATTCTTCCAAGTACTTTCTGCATTCCCATACACTGTATTTCACAACACCATGATGTAGGTACTGTGATTTCTTCTACTTTGCACAGGGGGAAACTGAGGCACAGAAAAGTTAAGTTACAACTCTGGGTTCCACCAGTGATAGCTTAATTAGGATTTGAACTCAGCAAGTGTGTGTGTGTGTGTGTGTGTGTGTGTGTGTGTGTGTGATGTGTGTATAATCCAGAACCTTGTGTGTGTTAATCAGTTGCTCTAGCACTGAACTATAACTCCACCCCTGAGGGACACACTTAACCATTACACTGCAAAGCTTCTTTTTGGGAAGGCAAATTAAGGAGGAATTTATTCTGGACAGCCACCTTCCCCCTAGGGCAGTGGTTCTCAACCCTCTTAATGCTGCAACCCTTTACTACAGTCCCTCATGTTGTGGGGACACCCAACCTTAAAATTATTTTTGTTGCTACTTCATAACTGTAATTTTGCTATTGTTACGAATCATAATGTAAATACCCGTGTTTTCCAATGGTCTCAGGTGACCCCTGTGAAAAGGTCATTTGACCCCGCAAAAGGTTTCGACCCACAGGTGGAGAACTGCTACACTAGGGTTAATTCTCCCTCTCTGAGATCTCACGGTATTTCTTCCTGCCCCAAATCATTCCTTAGTTATCAAGTAGCTTTCAGATTTATAGTCCCAGTGAAACAGGTGGGGCGGGCTTTAAAGAACATGTAGACTGTGTGTTCTGCAAAGTACCCTAAGCTTTAGGGAGCCTTGTTGGGACTCCTCAAAATCCTGCCTTGCATATACATTTTAGTATTTCAGAAAAGGAGACACTATTGCATCCATAACACTGCCTGGCTAGTAATCCACAAGAAGGGCACTGGGCTGTGACCCAATTCTATACACAACTGCCCCTTCATTTTGGATATAGGTCTCTACCTCTCCTGATGTCCCAGATTGCCACATTGGAATCAGGGGCTCCACCCAAAGATACAGTGGAGTAGTGATGTGGGGAGGCATTACGGAGCAGGTTACAGTGGGGTGACCGGTGAAATGTCACCCGACAAGCCCAAAGGTCCTTCTGAAGTTGGACCAGGTATTTTAGGCTGGGAATCCAGCCACTTGTAATCCCACGCCCCTTAAATTCAGACAGGGCTGAGGGTTCTGCCTCTTGCAGCCCTTCCCAATGGTGCCACAGAATAGAGACGCACTGACTTGGCCATGCATGCCCCACTACTCACTTCCTCGCTGGAGAAAGGAGGCTACACCCCAGTACTTCATCTTGAACTTGGCAGGATCTTCAGTGTCTGTGAAAGTGCCCACCATGTCTGCGCATACTTCCCAGTTGCTGCAAAAGCCAAGAGAATCCTGAGCCAAGCCTGGAAAGGGCTCCTACCCCATCCAAGGTGCCCCTTTCCCTTTCCATCGAAGGTTGGGCTCCCGGCCAGGGACGGGAGGGACCTTGGAAAGCACACACAGCCCACTTAGAGGCCACTGACCTCAGAATACGGACTCGGCCCTTAGCTGTGGCGCTCATATGACCCTTCTCGTCCACGGAAAACTCGGCGATGATGTTGTCTTGCAAAAAGAGACCCTCGGGGTCTTTTTTGGCGATGGCGTACCAGATCCCAGAGAACTGAGAAAGAAATGAGAGAGCCGGGGACTGAAGTTCGGGGTTCACCGCCGACCCGCAAGAATCGGGGATGGTGGGGGATACTGATACCTACACGAGCCTTGTCGAAGTTCTCCTTGACTCGGAAGCTGCTCACCCTGCAATCGCGCTC